ACAATGATAAAACGAAACGCCAAAAGTGATTTTCAAGAGTGTTTTCAAAAGTGTTTGGCAAAATGTTGAGAAATGACTTTAATGACTTATCTTCGGGCTGGGGCTATACGGCGCGTCGTCGCCTGCTGCAGAAGCATTGTCTCTGTTTTATTTTTATAACAATGACAAACTAGAACAAGATATAATAAAAAACACAGCTCTGAATTTGTGTGCGAACGCTAAAAAAAAAGAAAAAGAAATAAACGCAATTCTACAACTTTTTTGGCCTCTCTCAATCGAAAGTAACGAGCTCAGTATTTGATTTGAAGTATTTTTCAAGTGTTTACAACAATTCGGCACGATCCTCTGTCGAATCGATATTTGACAATCGATAGCAGCAAAGATGTCGGAGTTGCGGCGCAGTTTCAGCCGCCTATCGATGATCGTTTATCGGGCAACGCATTCCAGTGAGCAGTCCTGGCGCGAGGAGCTGCTGAGGTACAGTCAACACTCGTTGGAATGACCAGAGTGATGTTCAAAGTGGGCAGCTAAAGGAGTTAAATAGTTAGGGAAAAGTGAATTTAGTGGGCTTAGATTTTACTAGAGAAAGCAGATTAATAAATGAAAACCATTTCTGGTTGACTTTTTACCGAAAAACAAACAAATATCGATTTATTTGTACGATTTCGCTGATACATATATTGATGTTGTTTATTGCTGACATTGAACTCTTCTTGTCGAAAGATATATGTTTTTTAGTATAGATATATGCTTATAATTCGTTTGAACAAGTGTTCAGCTGTGAGCGCTAAAAGCTAGTTAGTATGTCTACATATATATATTCAAATGAATGTATATACATAGACCGATGTGCGTATATCTGCTTAAACTGTTGTTTAATTGAATGCTGCCACAAATATTAGCATGCAACGCCGCTCATTACTGCCCCCTAGCAATTGTTTAAAGCATAGCTATAAATATATACTAAATACATATACATATACATATACATATATATCTATACATATCTATAGGCATCATCTATGTACTACACCACACATACGACTTAAAACATCTGCTCTGCTTTGTTCCGCTCTGTCTATATAGAAACAGCATTTCAACAAATTTTGTTTACCCGGCGCACACGTTCTTCTGTGTTCAAAGCTTGACAAATGTATCTACATATATATGTATATTCTAGCTGTACCTTAAGTCCACATTCATATCTATAGACTGCACAATGCACACTTTCTTTATATACTTTCCTGATGACTTTTGGCATTTTGCTTCTTGGCACTGAATTTGCCCAAAATGAAATTGAAATATGACTTTTATCGTGTATTTGCAACATTTTCTGGCATGATATATGTGTAAACCAAATATATAACAACATATATCTTATATACAACATGTAGTTCTAGCGATACGAATTAACAAATTTTTACCTTGTTTCGGTGCTTGCACCCAGTTGGGTTCAGTTGTTTGACTTTGAACAAGTTCACAAAAAATATCAACTGATCTAGTTTATAAGCGGAAATTCATTTGCAGTAAATAATACAAACGAAAAGCTAAAACAGTCCAGAAACATCCCAGCTATAAATCTATATTTATTATTCATAAATAGTTTACTCTGTGGTGGGGAAAGCCCAGCTAGAAAATAATTAGATTTATGCCGAAATTCTAGTATATGCATATAATGGTTTAAACAAATGTTTAGCTCTAGCTCTAATTTTGTATATGAAAATATAGCTGATAGTATTTATTTTCTTTTTTAAAGAACTGGCTAGAATTTGGTAAAAAAAAGAAAAAAATCCAGTATGAACTGCTATTGATTGGCTTGAAAATCATTTCGATTTGGTGTCTTAGGTCAGTTTTGTATTTTGTTTTTTTTTTTCTTTATCTCGAAACATTTAATTGCGTGCAATTAGCTAACTCTACTTATCTGACTGGAGCAATGGAGCGTAGCACAAAAAAAAATTTAGAATGAAGATAGCTAAGTTTTACATAAAATATATAAATATAAAATATACGTAAAATATACCTTGAATTTATATATATACCTATATAATTTACTACTGATAACCCTTTTTTCTATCTTCTATATAAAGCTGTTTAAGCTCTTTATCTCCCTGAGCTGATCTTTTTGCGAGTCTAACACAGAAACCCTTGGCAATGACTCAGTGCGATTCCATTGAACTTGCTTACCTGCCTTTGGCAACAGCATTAGATATACGGCTCGTACAGCCCCCGATAGTTTAGTCATCTTGTTCATAATTGAAGCTAAGCTGCAGTTAGCCAAACGAAAACGAGAGTGCAGTAGTTGAAGGCATGCTCGACTATGAAGTATACCCTGTAAACCATTTATGTAGAAAATATAAAAAATAAATGACTATAACTTGACTTCCAATTTATTTAATTGCAATATGATCAAGATAGAAAATATGAGAGCTTTTCTTTACTATATGAAAACTTCATAGAATTACGCTAAGGTAAAATAAGACGAAATGAATTAGTGGAGGAATGCGAGAAGAGAAAATGTTGGAAACAAATTTACAATATATTTACATCTATAAATGGGATGTGAGCATACATACATATACATAGCGAAAGTAGATGAAATAAAGAACGAATCATTAGACCCATATTTGTATGAGAATCCCCAATATGTATAAACATATGGCATATTTTTAACCAGAATTGATAACTGGCTCGGCTGTTTACACCATTTTAAGGCATATAGGGTATAACTGTATGACATTGCTTAAGAGACCGGTTTATTTGCATGCGATTACTTAGAAAACAAACACAAATTTCGAAAGCTTTAACTAATGAATGTTATTGTCAAGTTCGATGTCAATTTCCACGAATTTTTGCACAGCTCGAAATGACTGGAGCAATGCACGGCAAACCATTTATTAATATCCGGAGTTGACATCAGCATGAAGAAGAAGACAAAAAGAGAAGAAACTCAGTTGGGGAGTTGTCAAGTTGAGTGATGGTGGAGTGAGAGAGAGAGAGAGAGAGAGAGAGAGAGAGACAGACAGAGAGTGCTAAACAGAGCTCCTCTTTTAATTATAAGAGTAGCAAAAAGCCGATTGAATAGTTCGAAAAGCTCTCTTCGCACTTTGCTTGAGCTTTGGCTTTCGACTCAAGAGTCAGTTACAAGCGAGCTTTGAGCGCCATCGATTTGTGGAAGGTTTGCATAAGTAACCAGAATAGCAGAGATGGTGCGAGCAGAACAAGCTGATAAAGCGTGAAATTGCAATGAAACGCAATATATTTGCGTAAAATTCAGGTATGCACGACGAACAGATGCGCTTTAAAATATAGAATATTGATAAAGTTCTCTGTTTCTACTCCGAATCGAATGAGATTATGAGAGCTAAAACTAGATCAAACAAATCTCTTATTCTCTTAACCAAATGAAATTTATTCATGTCTCCGCAAATCTCTCCGAGCTGTCTCTCCTCTCATAATGAGAATCAATCACACAATTCTCCATTTCGACATCTCTGTCCTCTTATGAGTGCGTGCAGAGTATGCAAAACGCACAATGAGAAGCGAAATGCATTCATCTCTGCTATTGTTATCGCTACTTTTTGATGTAAGTAGCGTTACAATTTACAGTTAAAATTTGCGATTACTGTAATCGTAGCTCCAAATGGCCTGACCATCCAATTGGCTTCGCAGTGCGAGTTTGACTGTTGGTCGCGATTGTGTGAAAGCTTTCAGCACAGAGCTTTGGCGGAAAGCTCCCGAATTTTTCGTTAAGCTAAGGATCGCCGCTATATACCTACATACATACATAGATACATATATACATATAAAAAAATACTTTCAATTGAAATTGATACTTTCAATTGATCTACCAAACTGCAACTCTTCATGATCGTCATACCTGTCTTTGTGATTTTCGTGTGCTGCTGCGGCATTTTACTAGAGACTCTACACTGGTAATTGGTTTAGCTGAAAAGCAAATATTCTTATTTACATAGTAAGGCCTGGATAGCTCTTAGCCCTTGAACCTCTACAACAGTGAGTCTTTTGTTGCTTAAAAATAAAATAAATGTGTGCTTTACATATAGGCGTGGAAATTAAAGATATATATGCATATGTACATTTCCTGTTTTTGCCATGATTTATCAAGCGCAATGTCAATGGACAGTGTGCTGCAACTTTATGTTTGTATCTCTTGTTGCCAGGCAATTATAATACCTATTGCTTCTTAATTGTGTCCATGCAATTATATCAGAGATCTATAGAGCTATTATATTTCTTTAATACGTTTTACATCACCTCCTTATATGTCCTCCACATCTGATTATTGAAAAATTTTAACTTATTTCATTTTTCATTATAAAATATTCCTAAATTCTGTTATCAACCCAAGTCGGGCAGCACTTGCTAATAATTCAATCTGCGCTCACTTGGGGTACTTAAAAAGTACAAAATTGACAAGATGACAACAGATGTTATGAACTGAGATGGCATGCACCAAATGGCATACATATATAGGCTATCAGCTCTATTGATAAGAGAGACACATAAATAGCAATGCGACAACAAAGGCTAAGAAATCGTTTAGCTGGTTGTAAATACAGTGGATGCTCGCTTTGACTCTATATACATATGTATACACATTTGTATATATTCTATTTCCAAAATAAAATTTACAATTTATACTAAGAATCAAATTCTATTAATAAAACTTCTTTCAGGAAATGAGAATCTTTTTTATGGAAAAAAGCATTTAATGTGGGAAAGCATTTATCTTTCTATTTTTTAAATTTATTAAGAGAAGACTAGGAGAGATTGTGTAAACAGTAAATGTAAAGATGCCTAGCTAAAAAAATAAGAAAATTATATTTATATTCTTTTTCTTTTTCTTCTTTTCTCTGCAGTCTATACAGTTTTATGAATAAATTAAGCTAAGCATTAAAGTAATGAATTACCGGCATAACCATAGTAAATTCCAGGTGCCAGAAACTAACTCTCTCTCTCTCTCTCTTTCTCTACAATAGGTATCGGCAGACGCGCTTTAGCTCGCGCCGCATGCGAAAACGTGTCGTGTTCAAGCATGGCGAATGCAACGTGGTGCAAGGAAACGTGGCCAAGAGACGCCGCCGTTATCTGCAGGTGAGAAGTCTGTTTTATATTTAGCTAAAGATAAACGCACACATACATAATATAATATATATGTATGTATATGCGTCGTTGGGACTATGCAAATGCAGGCATATTTAAATTTACCTTCTATTCGCTCCAATTATCCAACTCAAGTCAAATGCTCCAAAGCAAAAATGCGCCAAGTAACGATAAGAAATGCAAATGTGAAAGAAGGCCTAGGAGCGGGAGGTTTGGTTCTTTTAGCACATTTTACTTTATAGCGAGTATCTAAACCATAGTTGAACTGGTTCCATATTGCTCTTTCCATTTGCTGCTATTAATATTAAACGCATCGTTATACTAAAATAGTTACAGATTTAGCTAATTAATTAGCCGAATTGAGTCAAACGTCTCAGCTAAGATTCAAGCATGGAATATTTAGTTCATGAACTGATAGATTTTGAGCTTTGGGCCTTGAACTACTCTAAACATCTCTCTCCTTCTTCTCTCTCCCCCTCTCTACCATCCATTCTGCAGGACATCTTCACCACCCTCGTGGACGCTCAGTGGCGCTGGACGCTGCTGGTGTTTGCGGCCAGTTTCGTCATCTCTTGGGCGTTCTTTGGCGTGATCTGGTGGATCATAGCGTTTGCCCACAACGATCTGGAGTATATATATCTGCGCAATACACAGCCGGAGCTGATTGCCAATATGACGCACACGGTGTGCGTGACGGAGGTGAAGGGCATGATGACGGCCTTCCTGTACTCGGTGGAGACGCAAACGACCATCGGCTATGGCAATCGCTATGTGACCGAGGAGTGCCCGGAGGCCATATTTACGATGTGCATACAGTGCATCACGGGCGTTTTCATTCAGGCCTTTATGGTGGGCATTGTCTTTGCCAAACTGTCGCGGCCCAAGAAGCGCGCCCAAACGCTGCTCTTCTCCAGGAATGCGGTCATCTGTCATAGGGATGGAACACCGTGCCTGATGTTCCGTGTCGGTGATATGCGCAAGTCGCACATCATCGAGGCTCATGTCCGTGCCCAGGTCATACGCAAGAAAGTGACCAAGGAGGGTGAAGTGCTGCCCTTTTATCAGCAGGAGCTGCATGTGGGCGCCGATGGGGGAGAGGATCGGCTGATGTTCATCTGGCCAACGACCATTGTGCACAAGATCGATCGCAATAGTCCGCTCTACATGCTCTCCGCCTCGGATATGCTCAAGGAGCGGTTCGAGGTGGTCGTCATGCTGGGTAAGTTTCACATTAAATCTCAATCAATTCTGTCTCTAATGTTTGCACCTTCGGCGCACAGAGGGCGTCATCGAGTCCACGGGCATGACGACGCAGGCTCGCAGCAGCTATTTACCCTCGGAGATACTGTGGGGCCATCGGTTCGTCAATGTGGTGTCCTTTCGCAAGGAGACGGGCGAGTACGAAGTGGACTACACGCTCTTCAACAACACCTACGACGTGGACACGCCCCTGTGCAGTGCCAAGCAGCTGGACGAGCTCAAGTCGGAGTGCACGCGCAGTGCCAAGAGCGGCATAGGTAAGCCAATCTCTGGTCCATTTCAATGAAGCATATTAAACTTACTAAAATTTATCTTTATTGATCAGTGCCCTTTGGGGATCGTACGCTCTCCACGGCCAGCATGTTCCAGCGCATTGCATCGGCCGCGTCTGTGGATCACCTCGATCCGGCCAGCGATGAGTCGTTGGACTCGGGCCGTTTGCAAATACGCTCGCATTCCATACCGAACGGCGTCCTGCCCAGCGAACTGGAGCCACTTAACAACAACAACAACAACAATCACCATGGCCATGGCAAGCACGGCGCATCGTTCACCATGGGCGGCCACAATATATCCATAACGACAACGGCGCCCAGCATACCCAACCTAACAAGTATTAATGAGAGAACCAACTCCGGTAATTCCATAAACAGCAGCAACTACAGCAACAACAACAGTCTCAGTGCGTTGAATACGATAGCAGCTGCAACCGCTGCACCACCGGCCGGAGCTGCTGCTACCGGCAGCAACAGCAGCAGAGTCAAGCAAGCGAATCCCCGACGACTGAGCATCAAACAGGATCAGCTGCCCATCGATTCCATGTGCTGATATTCAACCCGAGCGCGCGGAGCGGACCCAAACTGATGTTGTATTTTAAGTGTAGGCTCCTAGAAATCTAGTTAGAGTACATAACATATATACATATATACATATAGATTGATAGATAGATGTAAGCAGAGCGCTCACTCAGATGTAGCTCTGTTAGCTGTGAACTCCTAAAGATCCCTAACAAGCGCATACACACTCCCCCTCCCCTTCTATACCAGCAGCAAGTCCTGACCGACCATCTGGCTTGTATTCAAAAAGCAAACACTAAAACTTGATGATAATTGATGATTTTAGTATATTTTTTTCCGTTAGTGTTAGTTTTAAATGAATTTACTATAGATAAGCTCAAATTGATATTATAACAACAACAAAAACAAATACCGAAAACGATATAATGAAACCAAAATACTGCAACTTCCATGTAGAGTCGTATAAAGTCTTCAACTATATAAAGCTCATGAATGTGAATGAATGAAGAAAACAAAATGAAATGTAATATGATTTTTAAAGCTACCTTTTGCGATGATTGTTCAATATCTCAATTACTCAATACATAAATATTCCAAATTATAGCTGTTATAAATAATGTGTGGACAATAAATGGAATGAGCATATGTGAATGTTAATTGATATATTTTATTTACATATTAAGTGTCGTAAAGATTATAAAAATGAAAAGACCGAGAATATACGAAACACCTGATTGAATATATTATATAAATATATATACAAAATACAACCTGTTTTATTTTAACATTTATAAACTTGTTTTGCATTTTGCGACAGCCATAAATATTCCTCTAAACTGTTTAAAGCGAGTTTAAAAAATACATTCCTGCATAAAACGAATGCATACTTTTTGTTGCATACTTTTAGGCATTCGAAAAATTCTTAAATTTAGTCATTAGCAGGGATGAAGTAAATATATATGGACTTCTGCTTGATTATAGATTATGGAGTACGCCAACCAGTGAATATACCAACTATATAAAAGACAATGTTATTTATATTATTAATTTTTCTTCCTTTTATTTATTTTTTTTGTTTTTGTTTCTCGAAGCATACAAGTTTCTCGATTAAAATCCACATGCACATTTATATAGGAAACACTCAGACAACTGTGTAGGAGATGATATAGTCTATGCTTATATTTATTATACATCCATCTTTGTGTATAAGCAATATTATCCCGCTCAATAATGAGATTTTTTAGATGCAGCCCACATATCATCGTATGTTGGTTAATAAAAGAATTGCATAAAATATTCAAAACATAAGTACTTTTACTTTTACTTTTAATTTAAATATATGTTAATATAATATGTAAATGTATTTCATTACGTATGTTTGTATGTGTGTGTGTTTAAATGTTTATAGACATAATAAGGTAAATATTTATTACAATTTACAAACAAATAATTTCGCATTGTTTTGCTACGTTGCGCACATTGTTTCGTTTTTGCTTAATTCTCTTTAGTTATTTATTTTGCGATAATTATTTTGAGATACGCGAAATTAATTGCAACCATTTAACTGTGTAAATATATGCACATGTCTATATATATAGAAACATACATACAATTCACAATATTCTTTCGTTTCTTGTTTCTGATCTCAGTTTACAGCATTATAAATAAGTTCTGGTTTTTATGCTTTAGGACATTTAAAGAATATTAAATATTAATATTTCTTATATTTTTTTGTGTACTTTTTGTTTTTGTTTCACTTTAAACTCTGTTGCGTTCGAATCTTAAATTATTAAATTTACATTTAGCTCTGGCCTAGTGCACCGAGTGGATTATATAATCAATTAGTTTAATTAAAGCTAAATTATTTAATAAGTATTTACAGATGTTTGTTTATGAGCTAGCTTAAAGTATTAGTAAATATTACGCTAATTGTTGTTCTCTTAGGGTTTACTTTGTGTTTGTGTGTGTGTGGGTGTATTTTCGTATGTGTATTGGTGTACTTAGGGCTAGGCGTCTTACGAGCGAGTCTATGAAATGTCCAGCAATATTTTTAATTTTATTTTGTATTTTTTTTCTTCTGATTTTTTTTTTTTTTTTTTTTTTTTTTTTGTTTCAAAACCTTTACAAAACTTTTATCTAACAGCTATTTATACATGTGCTCATCTTTTTTGTTTGTTGTTTTGTTATTTTACAGACTAATATTATAAATGTAAATGGTTTCTAGCATCAAATTTCTTTTGGACGACGCATTGATAGTTTTGTAAGTGTAAGTGTATATGCAAATGAGACTGTGTGTGTGACTGAGGATATTGTTAGTGGGTTTTACAAATTGTTTTTCAATTCAAGTTTTCAATTAACTGTTGCTGCTTCAAACAATAAAAATTCACAAATTATTTATCACAAGTAAGGTATAAATTTTCGTACCATGCGCTATTGATTCTATTCAATACATGGATATTCATATGTAAGAGAAAGACTATGGGGGAAGGCAATTTTAAAGAATTTTTAAAAATAAATAACAAATATATATTGACTAAGTTAGGTTGGGATTGGGGATTATGGGTGGGAAATGCAAAAGCAAGTGAAAGACTGAAAAAACAGCTGCAGTTGCAGAAATTCAAACAAATCATTTCATAGCAGCGTCCTGCAAACGAATGTTGCCAGCAACATGTTGCATGCAACAGAGCAGGCGCAGGAGCAACATAAGAATAAGAACGGCAACCGCTTAGTAATACAGGTAACTGTTGTTGTAGAAATCGTAACGGTAATCGTACGCTTGCTCGCAACATTGTTGCTGCTTGTGCTGATGTTGCTGTTGCAAATTTAGCTGCTGCTGTTGCCGCTGCAGTTGTTGATGCTGCTGCTGCTGCTGTTGCTGCTGCTGAAAGTTTGACAACCAACTCGTTGTTGCGGCAATACGCAGCAGATATTTTCATTCCTTGTGATGCTGATGCTGCTGCTGCTGTTGCTGCTGCTGCTGTTGTTGTTGTTGCTGCTGCTGCTGCTGCTGAGGCAAAAGTTGATGATGTTGCTGCTGCAAATGGGATGGCAGACGTGACTGTTGCTGCTGCTGCTGCTGCAGTGGCACATGTTGCACCTGATGATGGCCCTGATGCACGCCATGCAACGACGCCTGCTGCTGGCTGCCGCTCGCAGACACCGCACTGGCGGAAGCTGTTGCCGTGGTGCCATTGTCCGACTTGTCGCGCGGCAGCAAATAGACCGAGCCATCGGCCGCCTGTTGCAGGCTATAGTCAGCCGTGGAGCAGGGATTGCCGTCGGGATCGCGTAGATACTGTGAGAGAGAAAAACGCATTGAGATTAGCTAAATGTGGCAACTGGCGATTGGCTTCAGTTGACAACCCACCTGGAATACGTGACGATGCAGCATGGAGAACTTGTTGGAAATGCGCTTTCGCTCGGCATTCAGCTGTTCCCGAGCATGATTCAGCTCCGCCTTGCGCTTCACCACCGTGTTCACCTCATCCTCCAGCGTGAGTATCTGGTCCAGCTTGCGCTTGCGGCAATTCTGGGCCGCCACCTTGTTCTTGCCACGCCGCCGGATGTCGCGTATCAGCGACAACTGCGTCTCACTCAGATCGTACTTGGACAGGCGCTCGTTGAACTCGTCCATGGGCAGGTTGATGATGTCGCCCACTGCTATGGGTATGTTCAGGGCGCGTGCCCGCTTCTCGTCCCGCGATAGATGCTCCTCCTCCATGCCGCTGCCTGCGCCGCTGCTGTTCGACTTGGAGGCATGTTTGTTGGCTGTCGGCGGCTTCTTGTCTCGGGGATGCGGTCTGCTTAGCGATACACTTCCTTGGGGCAGCGCTCCGGTGCCTCCTTGTTGCAACGAGTACGTGTGATTTAGCTGAACCACGCCGTGGGGCGTCAATGGAGCACGTGGCATGCCGTAGTCGGCGGTGAAGGCGGTGGCTGCGCTCATGCCGTAGGCCTGGTGATAGTCCTTGGACAGGACGGGTGCCATTGCAGCTGCCTCGCCCACATTGCTGCCCGTAAAGGCCGCTGCGCCCGCCTCATACTCGTACTTGATGCTCTGCACCTGCGGCTGCTGTTGCTGCTGCTGCGATTGGGGCGTGGCTGCCACGGGTGCCGCTGTGGCCGTCAGTGCGCTGGGCGTTTGCTTATGCAGATCCCGCTTGCCGTACAGCTGATGCTTCTTCTGGGCCACCGGCGGCTGGCGTGTATTGTTGTTGTAACTGAAGTCATACGGCCCACCATATTTGGCCTGATGATAGTCCTGCGCCGAATCGCTACCCTCGCCCCACTCGCCGTCGGAGAGCGAAGGCACACGCTCCGAGCCCATCGAGCTAACCGCACTGTCACTGGAAGCGTCCAAACGATCCGTGCCGCCCTGTGCTCCGCCACCATTGGCCAATAGATCACTGGTCATGCCACCCACACCGGCCGCACCCACAGCACCAGCTGCACCCGCAGCTGCTACGCCGCTCATAGAGCCAACACCACCGACTGCACCACCACCACCAGCTACGCTGTTGGCATTCGCATGGCTGGCTACGTTCAGAGTGGAGCTGCCAGCGTTACTAACATGTCCACTGCTGGGCAGACCCAGCACCGAGGAAGTGTTGCTCGTGCTGTTGTCGACCATGCGACAGAAACCTGTGCGACAAAGAGATAAAAGGGGGGAATTAGTTCTATTCTATAGATAGATAATATATATACAGAGGTACAGTGAAGTCTTGAAACTTTAACTTTCTTTGACTGATTCGAATTAAAGTCTCACGCGGCAAATGTAATATTATACTGTTTATATTAAGAGATTTCACTTTTTTTATTAAATATCTAAGACTAGCGAGCTAATAATAAATATGCCTGCATATACCTACATCTTAACTTTACACTCATTTATTACGAATTCTCCGAAATTCTGTAGTATTTCGAATTAAGTTGGTTCCGCGACTAAAGAGTTGACTAGTTCTTCAAAGCAGTTTCATTCAGCCAGCTCTTACTGTACACATTCACTCTCTACATAGATTAACAATTTCTGCATTCATCGATTATTCAGCACAATTTGCCATATTCGTAAAGCGTGCTATCATCTCACACACTGTGCTTATCGTCTGTTTCGACTCTCCTTATCTACACACACACACATACATACATACATATGTATGTGCCCGCCTATCAGTGGCAGGCAGTCCCCAAGCTACCAGGTCTACCGTGTCTCTCACTGGGTGTAGCTCGCTAGCTACGTACATACACCTCTATATACTACACTTATGCCCATGTTCAAGACAATGTCTGTTGTGCGTTCTTTTCGGATCTCTTATTTCATTATCTTATCGTTGAACCATGTGAGCTTATATGCTGTGCTGAAGGTATAAACGGTATCAACGGAAACAATTTGATAAAAATAACATCCCATTTCTAATTTAATAAAATATAAATCACAAATTTTGCTATAATACTCTCCAATGGAAAAATATGGGAATAAGACTAAATTTACTTATATACATGATTTTAAAAATTACATAGTTCCTCACGTTATTCGTAGAACTGATAAGTCACAAGCGTTATCATCGCACTTGAGGGCATGTAATTAGGTAAATTTTTGGCTCATTATCTGTATGTGTGAGCTGATTAAGCTAACCTATTATAAGATTATACACACACAC